ACTTGTCTCTGGAAAGCCTCGATAAAAGACGCCGACGTCTCCTCTGATGATGAGYGCTAGTGTCGTGGTAGCAACATGCTATGTGTTTACATCCATCGCTGCCATGTTTGTAATGACTTATCATGAGAACAAACGTATTCACGTGACTTTAAGAACATTTCTTACTTAATGGAAACACTGCAGTTGTGAAACTGTGTTTTTTCGACATTAACAGAATATCACAAAGTTTTGTGCACATTTGTAATGGAAACACAGTTAGTGACAGGATATCTAAAGGACGTGTCAGGGATCTGTAGGCAGCTGACTGAATAAAAAGAGTAAAATCAAGTGTTTATTTTCCCACTCTTTGTTGGTTTTCTGTTTAACCCTGAAGTGAATCTGTCGGCTGTGTTGAAGCTGCCGCTCAGCTGTGAGGCACTAACGCTCCTGTTTGTGTTTGTTTTGCAGGTGAGGATGAAGATGAGGGTGAGTATTGTGGTTGTGCTGTTTTCTGTAACCCTGACTCATCAGCATGGCCTCCAAACACTGGACCCATGTGACCACAGCATGCTTCCACCTGCCGCTCTCACAGGAAATCACACAAACAGGAAGTTAGAGAGGACACAGCAGAAAACTGTAGCAGCAGACTGTCGTTTTAAATCCATCCTGGCAGTTTGAACACATTTACAGACCTAAAGTCATAAAACAAACAGAAGCAAACATCTCTGCAGAGTTCAGCAGCTGTGTGGAAATGAAGATGAGCCAGCTGTGATGAAGACAGATGTGTTTGATCTACAGTCTCATCAAACAGCCTCTCTGATGTTTGGTAGCTGAGGAGCAGCACAGACTGGACGTCAGTTTGAGACCCCAGGGTTTCCCCTACATGTGGRCAAAATAAAAGCTGCCACACCTTCAGAGTGAAGTTTTATTTTCTCAGAGTAAAACTGGGCTTGACTACCCAAAGTGCTCTCCAGTGGGGGAGGTGTTTGTACTGTTCACCAAGATGCTACAGAGACGTCTCACTGAGCTTATCTTTTTACGTCTCAGTGAGTTGTCCTCCACACTGAATGGGGTCAGTTTAAAACATCTGTGTTTTTAATAAGAATACAAGCAAATAGATGTCAGGTTAGAGGGCACAGGAGATATWTTCATGACTGCAGGAGTCTGTCTAAAAGAACAAACAACTTAAGCTCATTTAAATCCATTSAACTCATTTGTGGTCATTAAATGGAGCCAGATGTTTGCTCTCAGTCAGTACGGCTCTGTTCTCTCATTGTTTCTTTCACACAGTCACAAACAAGCTTTTCAATCTTCAACATATCTTTTAATGTCATTAAACACAAGTCATGAAGACAAACGGCTCATTTATTTTCACCGCCTGTCCTGTATGTAGCTTCACTCACAGCATCTGGATGAATTCAGGTTTGTTGTTGTGAACTAAACAGAACAGCTGCACGTCCTCCTTCAGTCTCTAATTCTTTGTGTCTTTACTCTTTTCAGCGTAATGCTAAAGCTAAGGTCCTCTGTGGCCTCACGGATACTCGTCCTAGAACTGGTCCCTCCTCCTTTTCTCCTCCTGTCCCCGARAGTCCTCTGCTCACCCTAGAACCTGTGGACAGAACTCACAAGGACTTTGTTGAGTGACCAACAGCCCTGTAGTTGAAATGGAGTCGCTCTGTTTTTGTGGAGAGATTTGTCGGTTGTAATAAATATTTAATGGACATGAAGTCATTCAGGGAAACATGTTCACAGGCTTTTAGTCATTAAAAGGTTGACCTCCCAAGCCTGTCTGTGTTCTTTGTGTTTTAATGTGAAGAAAATGGAAGAAGGATCTGTGACTGGTGTGTCTCACTGTCAGACTCACTTTCAAAGTTCCAGAAACCGTAACTTGTTTGAGAAACTTGGTAAGAAACCAGATTTCACTTGGCCCTTTYTGTCCTGCATCCGACCCCTCCTCCCGGTTATCCTCCCTGTCTGTTTGCATGCAGTTTGTCATCTTGTGTTGTTGTGTACTGGTGTTTGCATGAGCCAGTGCTGAGAAGAGTATTCAACAGTTTAAAATAAAAACATTACTGGTTCTTTCTATCAAACAATGAGTCACGGTCATCCCTAACAACTCCAACCACCCAAAACCCGGTCCAGGCAAGGACTTGTGTTTGTCTGACCCATCAATAGCAGTTCTTTAAGAACATCCCACAGATGTTGATGGAACTGAGGTCTGCAGAGGGTTTAGGCCAGAGTTRCCTGAAGTGGGGCCCGTAAGCCAAAATTGGCCCGTCAATCCTTTTGATTTGGCCCACCAGCAGTTGTCCTGKCTACTACTGTAGGTTATAATCTCCTGTCTTATGTAGAAACACTTTATTTCCACTTTTCAACCATTGGTCCAACTATACACGGAGTCTTAACTCATGGTACTCACTTTATCTTTGAACTGTGTTAAAATTAAACATAAAATACAAGTAACTACAAGAGACATTTAGATTTAAGCACACATCTAGATTTGCACACTTTATAAGACCACAAACACTAAAATTTTTCACTTTATATAAAGTCCCATGAGCCTTTGCTGCCTGAGCATACGTCATATTTTCTCCACGTCCATGGGCAGAAAAAACAAATAAATAAATGTGGGCCACTAAAATAAAACAACTTTGCTTAAGAAGTATTTGCATTTCATATGTTTATATAATTGCATTTGTCCCACAGCCCTCAGATCGATTTTCGTTTTGGCCCTCAGGGAACATGTTTGGGCCCCCCTTGGTTTAGGCAAAGTTAATGCCTGGGTCTGATCTGCGTTTGTTTAAACCATTCTTAAAGCTTTTCTACTATATTGCATAAAACATAGTGGCACATCCAGTTTCCATGGTGGGGGTTGCAGGGGGTAATTTGTAACACTAGGTGCTTGAAGACCAAACCGTTCTAAGGACTATTGGTCCCACTGTGAAGTGGTTCTGAGGACCTGTGCGTTTACCGTCACACTGMCTGGAGAGGCTTGGCTGACAGTCATCAGCTCACATCAGACAATCCTGTCATCTCTTGTTTATTCTTCATCTCGTACACAATAGCTTCAATAGGCCATGTGCACAATATGGCTTCCACTAACTTTCAGTCAAAAGTTGTGAGGTCAAGAACTTCCTGGTAAATGTCTCTGCCATTCAGGTTGGGTTGTTTTGATAGGAACCAGTAGCTGCGTTTCCACTGACCATGAAAATGCGCAAATTAGAATTTCGAAAATAAATTTGCTCAATGGAAACACGTCAATTTAGAGAAAAATTACGTTTTTCGACAAAATGTTTTTGCGCTAGGGAGAGGTGGTTTTTCGGTCGTGTTGAAATTGATATATTTAGCACAACTGCAA